GACAGATGAATTTTCATCACTAAGTTTGCTTAAGCAGTTTGGTAGCAGAGGAACAGGTTTTGAATTAGAATTAGCAGATCTGAATAAATTTAGAAAAAAACCAAAATTGCTAGCTTTCTCTTCTTTCAACACAGCATAAACACCTTCTGCTATTTGGATCAGAAACAAAGAAAAAAAGAAAAAAAGCCAAAGATCACCAAAATAAAAATATTATCTCATTAGTTCGTATTTGGTAGAAGGCAACCATTATCTTCCAACTGTCTGCTACCATCTCCAATTAAGTGGAATAAATTTCCCTCTTCAATGCCTGAAAAGATGCTCATCATCATAGCACAACCTACACCCAGGTGAGTTCAGGTCATCAGTTTGCGAAGGGGTTAAAAGTCACATTAAGTGGTATGAACACGAGTGTACAGACACTATGTCCTCTTCTGACAATACGATTTACAGCTGCTCTGCCCGTATCCTCACGTTTGGTAAATTTACGGTAGTGTACCCCTTCGCCTGCACTGAGGACTAAGTCATCTCATATTCATTAAAGATGAACATGCACACGAGCTGTTACCACAGTATGCAGCATTTCAGAAGTTCCCTTCCCAACCTAACCTCGCGGCAACTTGTTTATTGTGGCGGGCCTGAAGATGACAGCAAGTTCACCCCAATCAGTCAGGGAGGAATTAATCATGCTTTCAAGTACCTGTATTTTAAATGCACAGCAGGCTCATTTAAACACAGCTGGCACAATGCCCTCTTCTCCAGGCCTTACCTCAGCATTCACGTTTCCATAGTCTCAGACAACACTAGTAAGGACTCTCACCATTATCTTCTGACCTTTTCCCTTTTTTTTTTTTTTTGACTTTTTAAGTTAATCAGTAACCAGAGACTTCTGCCAACAGTTCGTGCTACTGATTTCAAGGTCCTGTGACACACAAAGCCTTATGTGATTCCATATGTGGTTACAAACATTAGCCATTTACAGAGCAAATTCCCTCTCTCCTTTCACATTTAAGGTCCCCAATCTTTCCCTGGACTATGAATAAACATAAAATGGTGTATTCCACATACTACAACACTATATCAGCAACTCTAAAAACCAATTATATCATGCAAAATGCTCTTATCCACACCTACAGGTCATAAGGAACAAGCTTTGCCATGTTCCTATTTAAGGCGGCTAAGAGAAATAAAAAGAGCAAGACATTTTTTATGAAACATTTACTGAGCTTTAATTTCCCACCATAGTTATCCACATCAGTGTATGACTGCAAACAAGCACAGGCACCATATAAGGTACTATCTATTACTAGAATTATTTTTAAAGTCTTCGCCTCACAGTGTTAGGAAAAAACAATGATATGCAACATAGCCATAACCATAAAACTGCAGATGGTAGCTGAGCTACTTTGTTCTTGTCTAATACTGAGATCTCATTAAACTGAGTGCTTAAACCTTAAATATTTGAGAAAGGAACCTTTCAGTAAATGCTAGTTAAAATAGTTAAATCATCCTGATTAAGCATCCTCCCTTTCCTTTGCTCAGCTTTCAAGCTTACTGTTTGTTATTTTATCATTTATGTAGTTTGCCACTTCTCAATCTTCCACTCTAGACAGCCCCAGAACTTCTAAATAAAGGACAAAGGGAAGGGGGGAGGGGGGGTGAAACCACTCAAGCCATGTTTAAGCCTTATGAAGAAGCTGATGAGGGGAAACAGACAAATACTTTCTTCTCTTCATTTTTGATTCTGAGCTATATCACCTTGAAGACTCCTTTGCCCAAAGTCATTCAGTGAGACAACAGGCAGAAACTTCATTCTTTCTAAGCCTACTTCTCTGCTCTCTACCTGTTCTGCATTATTATTATTACTCAATCTTGAAGAAACAAACTAACTTTCTATAAAAGGAAGACTGCATGACACACCATGTATCCAGTTTTATCCCTGAAATATTATTGCCTTTAACAACTAACTGCAGCAGCAGCACACCAAATTCTTAGCTGTAACACAGAGCATTTATAATTATTTTTGCTTATTGTTTTCTCATCAAGCCAGCCACAAAATTTAAGTAAATGGCTGCCAACCTATTCAGGCTAAAACTGTAAGATGGGAGAGGAAATGACACAACAGAAACATAGAATTTATGCAAAACATTGGCAATATTTAAGCAAAACTCAGAAATCTTCATAAATTAGCACTACACAGTAATTCATATTACTTGAATCATGCTTCTCTATCCTTCCACTTCAACATGATATGGCAGGAAGTAATTAATGGAGACACACTCCCATATATATAGCTGGAAAGAATTAATCTATCATCTCATTTGTGGTATTGTCTGTTTGGAAAAACAATTTTTCCCCATATAGAACAGTTCGTTTCACATGTAACTAGAGATTAGCAGTTCTTTGTTCTTTAATTACACATAAAGAAATTTAATGGGAGGCCATACAGAAAATTTAATCTTCACAAAGGCTTTGCTACATATATAGGTAAAGTGTTCCACAGAGTCACTTATCTTTTTAAAAAAATAAAAATAAAATAAGACATCCGGAAAACCAATTCAAATACAGACCTGACATTTAGTATTATGTACTATGGATTAAATAAGAGCATTAATTTTTGCTATTTCTTTTCCCTCCCCTCTTTTCTACTCAAAACTACAAAACCTGCTTAGATTAAAACCTATTTTTCATCATTTATTTTTTGCTGTATGCACAGCACATAGTTCATGCTCTTCTGATCAGTTTTACATAAAACCTGAAGCTAGAAACTAGTTATGTCCTCAATGATCAGGCACTTATTTTTGAAGGAGTAAAGGCCACTAAAAACACCTGGGGATTTCATTAGAAACATAAATAAGAGAGAGTAGATACATACATTTTTTAAATATTAACTTTAGTAAGGTTTGGAGAAAGATCTGCTAAACCTTTCAAAATGACAGGCCTCACATAAAAGCCTCATACTTTGCCACTGAATCAATCAGAGCAAGTTCTGAGGAATCAGAATACAAAAGACAAATGCGCTTCCCACAGATCCAGTATTATCATTAATATATCTTACGGATGTAATTCCAAGATCCACAACAAAACAAACAAATGAACAAAAAATGTATCTAGGGCACATTCTTATCTTTTAGCTATTCTCTGTGTTAGTTTTGGATTGTTTAATATACTGAGTTTGCAATCAAGTGTAGGGCAAGATACATATATGATACAAAATTAAAGAAAGAAATAAGATCCCCCTTTCACAATGCTAAAGTCTAAGTGTATGTCATACTTCTATCTGTAACAATCTCAGAATGCTGTTTAAAAATGAGACACATATTCCTGCGAACTTGTTTTGGCTGGTCAGTTCAGACAAGGAAAACTGTCAGTTTAGACAAAAAGGAAGAAGGCAGAAGACAGAGCACAAGCACCTTCCATCCAAAGCCTCAGAAAACTAAAGAGCCAGATGTACCAAATACACTGATCAGAGCTAATACTCCGTCAGGAGAAGATGTGTACCAGTTTGTGATGCATACACATTTCTACCTGTATTCCTCGAAGGGCAAGGAATAGTGAACTGGCACAAGTATGTCAGTAAGAGTTGGCACAGCTGTGCCTCAACTGAAATCAGACATAAAAAGGAAAACAGGGTTCAACCACGACCAGGATTTTTTATGAAGCCAACAACTTTCAACATCCAAAGCATCTGCGTTATTTTAAAGGGGGCAAAACGCTAGACACCGTGAGACAGCAGTAGGACAGACGACCCCTTTACAACTGTGCAGGCAGCAGAAGAGCAGCTTTTTGATTATGTGCCTAAGGCCTGGATTTTTCAGGCAGCATTTAGAGGTTTAGAGGGGCAGCAGCTGCCATCCCTGTGCTTCATTAGTGTCTGGTCACTGCCAATGCTTTTCTAGGAAGGACTCTGACTCATTGATCTGTGAAAGCAGCTGGAAGAACACCCAAGCTCTCTTGCTGCCTTACCCCTCCTCAGCAGCAGCACTAGTGAAAAACTTCAACATTTTCTCTCCCGCTTCCATCATCCCAGCCAAACCCGTAAGGTTCTCTCATACCCAGTGTAACAGTTGCTAGAGCTCATTTGTCACACAAGGACAAATTCTTTGTCCTTTTCCACAGTTAAGAAACATGTGCTTTGTGCTATGCAAAAAGCTACGTGGCAGCACCACAACCCTAAATGAAGAGGAAGCTATAGTTTCAACATTTGTCATCTGTAATAAATGAAATATCCCTTCAAGCTGTAAAACTAATTAGATAGCACAACCTAAAGGAAATCACCCTGCTTAAAAAAGTTAAGAGGTTAAACACCAGAAAGTTTCAAAATGACAGTTTTCCTGGCTTTCCACTAGAGAGGGGGCAAGTTATGACAGCAGAGTTGTAACCACTTAAAAACTACCTGCAATTCACAAACACGATACTCATTCTCAGTGACTCGCTGGTCCTCACTTGAGAGTGAATTACTGCGAAGACATGTTTTACGCACACCAGCTTTGAGGCTGCACACACGCCTGCCTTTAAGAGGACTCCTCTCTAAGCACTGCTGATGAGCCCAGCTCCTGACAGGAGGGGGAGACCAGCCCTGTGCCAAAATCAGATCACACCACACTTCGCTGTAACAAAAGATGACTCCAGGGAGTTTGTGCTCATCATCATTATTCCACGCACGTAATAGCCACCTCCAACGGCTTTTACTTCAGTTAAACCTTTACTACTGTAAAGGACGGAGGGGGTATAAACACACTTCTACCGCGCCGATCGTGGAAGGGGTAATGAGAGATAAAGGGAATGGCGTATCTCTCAATTCCTATTTAGAGACAGACTCCCTCTCCCCCCTCCAAGAAGCAAGGAACCCCCCCCCCTCGCCAAACAATGTCTCAAAATAACCGCACAAACCTGGTGGGTGAGAACACGTCCATTCCTTGCCCTGTAACAATCGTTCCCCGCCCCCCCTCCCCCCTTTTTTTGTTGTGTTTTGTTTGTTTTTTTTCCAGCTGAGCACTTGCCTCTCCTCCGTGCCCATCAAATATCCCGAAGATGGAGGGGTGAGTCTTGTTCACCAGGTCAGTGATTACTTCGAACCTGTCCTCCATGTGATCCCTCCGGCCTTGGATGGAGTAGACAGCCACGTTGTGGCTCTTGAACTCCCAGGTCTTGGAGAACTCTGCGTCCAGCACGTCTAGCCCCCCGAGCCTGTCATTCTGCATGATCTCGGCCACCTTGCCCTTCACCATCTTCACCGCATCCCTGCTGGACTTAACAATGGTTTTCACCTCATCCGTGTGGAAGAAATAACTCCACAGGGCCAGGCTGATGCACAGCAAGAACAGGGTCTCCGGTCTAAGCAAGAAGTAACGCATGATCCGACCCAGCAGAGACAGCAAAGTCATTGTATCCTCTATCATTTATTATCGAGACCGTGTATCCCCACACCATGCAACGCGCACCCCGGCGGCTGGGATGGCTCTGAGCCGAGGCAGCGAGTCAGTGCATGCTCCTCCGATGGGGCGCAGCCGGCGG